TTATTATATAATTAAAAAATAAAATTTACTATAATATTATATATATTTATAAAATTAATTTAAAAAAAAAAATTTTTTAAAAATTTTAATTTTCATAAAAGTAAATCAGAAAATAATTTATAATAAATAAGCAGACAAATTTGTCTGCAAATCTCTACAGTTTAAGGAATAATATAAATAAAAAAAGTTTATTAATATCTTTATTAAAATCAGATATTCACTAAGTTTTGTACTAAGTAATAAATACTTAATTAGGCCTTTCTTTGCTTTAATCACAGCTTAAATTCGCTATGATATACTATTGACTAAATTTTCGATAGTTTGTATCAGAATTTTTTTTCATACTTTGTTAATATATCGTTCGAGTTTAGTAATGTTAAAAAGCATTTTTTTCTTTTCATGAATGCTTTTCTTAATATCTGCTTACAGATTCTCAATTGGATTGAGGTTTAGACTTTGAACTACTAAAAAAGTTTACGCAAACTATTTTTTATGTAAAATTTCTTTGCAACTTTTAATGTATGTGAACAAGTGTTATTCTCTTAGAATTAACTATCACTATTTGAAAATATATACGCCTTATGGTTCATATGACATACTTTTGAAGAATAGTGATATGTGAAGTATCAGTTGCTATTTCAAATAATAGAACAATAGGTCTTACACCTTATCTCAAAAAGCATCTCCAAAACATTTAACTTGGGCTATACTTTATTGTTACAAAAACACAAGAAATGTTATATTCTTTACTAGGTTTTCGCTAAACTCTACTACACTGAGATTATTAAAATTAAGAAAAAATCAACTCGTCACTTTACAGAACTTTTGACTGATCATCCTTTATTTAGTTTTGATGTTTTAAGTACTATACAAAATGTGTCTTTATATTTGCTGATGAGATTAGAGACTTTATTGAGTAATACAATTATTTAATCAAACTACACGAAGTATACAGCTAATAATGTGAGTTAAAATATCTTGGTCAATCTTTTTATTTCAGAATTGTTAAATTTCTAGAGTATATAAGCAATAATTCTTTCTATTATTATTAGTTATAAAATTCTTAAGTTGATTTTATTATAAAGGTTCAAGAAGGGATGGTCAACTGAAGTGAAGTCTCAAATTAGTTATTTTAATATTATCCATTCTTTTCAAAGTATCAAATACTGTTGACATACTATATATGACTATTATAACAATAGTTTGGTAACTATCATTATATTTGATGGCAAAAAAATATAGCATCATATTGTTCTGTAGTTAATTCTTTAAACATTTTTTTAGGTATTTTAGGATTAAAGTTTATTTTGATTCAAAATCAAAATAAGCAAACTAAACACATATTTATTAGGTTTGATTCATGTAAACAAGGTCTGAAATATCATATGACCACAATATTATTAAGTCACATGATGTTAACAGTATGAAATCATACCTGAAAAATGGTGTTTAAAGACTTTTGACAGTCTCTATATATCTACTAAAAAAAAGAATTTATATTTTTAAATGTAGAAAAATTGTTAACATTAAAAATGTAAATTAAGTAAAAGAAAAATTTAAATTCTTTACAATTTATAATATAATTTTTATTTACAAAAATTTTGGTTATAAAATTCTTTCTCATAAATCTAATAGATCACTTTAATAATAAAGAGAGATAATTAACATTTAATAAAATACTTAAATAAGTAAATCCTTAAGAATTGAAAATTTGTAAATTTTATTTTAAATAATATATATATGAAAAGAATATTAGTAATTTTCTTAATAAATAAGAACTTTACAGTTGAGTTAGAATTAAAACCTTTTATATTAAAAATAAGAAAAAAAGAGGTTTATCTGAACTAAAAAAAAATGAAAATATTATTGAAATAATAAATATAAATTTAAAGGAAATGTTAAAAAGTTTTTAGGAAAGTAACAACTACATAAAGATGGTTTTTCAGTCCTTGAAAAACGTTGCGACTTTTTGAACTGCTGTGGCGCAGCATGACTTTACACTTTTTCATCCACGTGATTTTGGCCGGCATTATGGCATTAAGAAATTAACTATGTGATGAATAATTATGTGAAAATGGAATTTCTCAGTTCCAATATAAAAGTGGAAAAGTAGTGGGAGCAATACGGGTGACAAATATTTACTATGATCACGTGGGTGAAAAGTGTCGTTTATACTGGGGAAGATATCAATTTCGACGACTTACATGACAAATCTTATCGTTAGTGTTTCAATATCTAAAAACCAAATTAAAAATTTGAATCAAAAACGGGTAACCGATTTTCTACCTTTACAAAATTAACCGTATTTTTTCGGGACCTCTCTTTTCCCCAAAAGACATTAAATAGTTGCAACAATAATGTTGGTTTGGTATCATAGAGAATTTTTTTATCCTTTTTTTAATTGCCTCTGCAAGTAAAATCTAGAAGTGCGTATAAACGCTTTGATAAATCGTTTTAAAAACGCTAAACCTTTTTCAATACATCTTATCGAAAAGAAAAAGAAAATTTCGATCTTTAGAATCTCTTTGACGAAATGATATAAAGTACGTGCGATCTCTTTAGTCATATTTTTATTTGATGTTAGTTTATGAATTTTTATGAAAATTTTTTTTTTATATGTCGATTCTTTACACGATCACTCAATAACCGTATCGACTTTAGCCATATACATGTATATATAATAAATATAATATAAGAATGAGAAATAATAAGAATAAGTATAATAGTAATAATAATAATGATGATGATAATAATGGTAATAATAATAATAATAAGATTAATATAAAAAATGTATATATATTTATATAATTAACAAGGGTATTAGAGATTGACGAGATCTCGAATTTATAATATGAAGATTTATCTAAAAATCTTCCATGCTCTCCTGACGTCCCTACTTAATAAAACAACAAAGGTATAAATTCCAGTAACGGAACCAACCCAATCATTGATGCTAATTTTTGTTTCAAGTGGTTTGTGGGTCAACAGGTCAATTATGGTATTAAAGCTTGCCAAAAAATACGCGAGCATAAAGCTAAGCGAGAGGATTGACATACGAATTGCCGCATCTTTGGTCATATTGTACCTCCTTTGATTCAGATTTTGTTGCGTCGATGGACGTTGTGGGAATTGGGGGAATTTTGGTGATAAAGTCGAATTAGGGGTTTGTATTGGTTCAAGTGAGATACCTTCCGGTTCTTTGCATGATGAAGTACATAATGTTGAATTTTGACTAGCGTCGCTAACCGAGAATTCGGATCGAAATTGATCCAAATGTCCATATAAAGCGTATGCCGAACGGGCTATAATGACAGAGCAAAATTTTAGAAATCTTGCTTTTAATGTGAAAATTGCATGAAAAAACGATATTTACCACTAAAATACCCTCCAGGTATACTTAATAATAGATTGCCTCCAGAGTATCCCAACATCCTAACCCAAACAGGATTAGTCACATCACTGTTGAAAAAAAAAATATTATATATATATAAATAAATGACGTACATTTTTTGAATAAAAAAATAAAATTATGAATTACCATTTATATTGTCTGGGAATGATGGCATCGGTTTTTAAACTAAAGTATAATAAAGGTATACCCAACAACAAAGGATAGATTACGACCAATGCATAATAAAGTTTCTTGTTTCCAAAAGCTGTTGATCGATTGTATTTAACTATTAATGAATAACTTTCATGAGCAAAGCATACGGCTGACATCATGGCTATAAGAGTAATGAATTGAACCTATTGATAATTTACAAAAACGTTAGAACAAATAAATTAAAAAATGTCTTTCGTTGCGATTAAGCGAACTCACCATGTAACCTTGAAAAAAGCAAAAGGCTTTCGGAGCCGTTGTCAAATCATTCCCAAATATGATACCGCTTAAGGAATTACAACAGAATATACAGTTTGCATAACAATATATACAAATCAATGGATTCTTTCCAAGTTTTTGTAAACTGGCCGCTATGTACAATGAGCAAAAAAATGATATCATATACAATATATTAAGAATTAATATAGACGATACCATCGTATTATTTATGATGAATGAAAAGAAAAGGAAAGGAAAGGAAAGGAAAGAGGGAAAGGGTTAAAAAAAAAAAAAAAAAAAAAAAGATTAAATTCCTTAAAAAAAGAAATTTATTGTAAGGAGTGAAGGAGAGTGAGTAATAAGGGTCGTTATTTTCGATTACAATTGAGAATGAAATCAAAAAATTTCCTTCATCTTAGGAATTTGATTCGTATTTTATCGTATGGCATAGTTGCTTGAAATGCTAAAAGTAGCAAAGAAAGGATCCTTACCTCCATTGTATAATTGAAAATCATTAACTTTTGAGATCACATTATGTGACCGAATACGCCATATAAACAATAGCCATTTATAAACCTAAAGACTTTATTAGATAACCTAACCAGAGTTATCTACTGTATATTATATATATATATTTTTTAAATTAAATGACAACAATCTTTAAGATTACGGTCCTAGATCGAAAATTGGTAAACAAAATCAACATATCATAGACTTGAACAATGTGTTATTAACAGTTACGTGCAGTTCACCCTTTAATCATTCTGAACTTTATGGTCTTTGTAATTTAACTTTATGATCAACATTAAAACTGGATCTATTATAACTTATTTTGTGTATCTAAAGCGAGGTTATATGTTGTTTACCCACTTAAGTAATGTAGAGAAGCTGAATAAAATTATGAGTTCATATTGTCTTAATGCTGGGTAATACCAACGCTTTTAAAACAACCTCAAATGTTCCAAAAAAGGAGGAAAAGGCTTTTCTCGGATTTCGTAGATGATCGAAATTGGGCCAATTTGGTGTTCATACGATACGGGTAATACAGAAACCCAACTTCTTTTCTCGATATCTATCACGTGACGAGAAAATAATAATGGCAAGGATTGGACGTTCCACCGATCGTATGAATGCATACCCCGTACGTATGCATGCCACTTTTCCAAATTGAGAAGGTCGTAATTAATGAAGGCTGATTAAAGAACAATAAAATTTACGAATTGAATACGTCCATTCCAAAATTGGTTATTATGTAATCACCTCTTAACAAAAAAAGGAAAAAGGGAGATTTCTTTCCTCCAAATTCTTCAAAATAACCGAGTTGAATTTTGGCAGAGACCCGGATCCGAGTTTGATATTTTCCGGGCCGGCGCAAGATACTTACTATTTGAACATATATTAATGTCCAATGGGACCTTTATAAATCTATATGTCCAATGGATAAACGTCCAAACTTGATTTAAAGTTTATTTTAATGAAAAATTTCTATTAATTTTTTAATTTATTAAAATTAACATGATACGTGCATTTGAAATAAGAAATTTTAGGTTGGATGATTTTTTTAATCATAATCGCCGCATTGATGTTTTTCAACCCGGAATTAAAATTAAAAACATAACTTATTTCTTCAGTGTCAAGATTCTTGCTGAACAAAATTGAATACTAGTTTGTTTAGAATGATTCGGTTAAAAGGATCCAAATGTCTACTCATATTAAGATTATTTTGATATTAAATATACGATGAGATGGTTTTATTTTTATTAAAATTATACCATACTATTTAATTTAACAATTAAACTTTTCTTTAAAAGTTTAATACAATGCTCGGAAAGTGTGACAACATATTACCTAATATGATTTTTATACTCCCTCCCAGGTAATTTAATTATTTCACCCCTAAAATGTTACGGATCGTAAAGGATCGACGTCACACATAATAAAAATTAAATTACCTAAATTAATTCCTGCATCGGTTTGATGGCCAAAAGTTTTTTTTTTTTGGATTCAAATAGCATGAGTTATGCGATCTCTAATTAGATGGTGCATTCTATTTTTGGAAGAGATAGATATCTTTTTGAAGAACGATGTAATATATTTTTTAGAGGTTGACTTTTTATTAGTTTATGAATTTTATAAAAAAAAATATACATGAAAAATATTTTTAAAAAATATGAATTTATGCATAACTTTAAAAGTTTATAAAATTATAAAATTTCATAATATTTCATACACATAATATATGTGTATAGATATTTTTATAGAATACCATTTCTTAACTTAAAATTGGTTATCAGATAACTTTTTGGTTCAATAGATTGATATCTATTCATATTACCCGCTTACTAATAGTTCGCCCGTGTTGTTTCATATTGATATTTTACCGGATTCTCTAAATATTTAATATATTTTATTCAATAAGCTTGATATAAAAAAAAGCATTTTTTAAAAATATTACATTTTAAAAGTGACAATTATTTAAACATCGGAGCCTTTTCTTTACTACTTTTATTGAAAGGCATATTAAGGTAAATCTTATGATTCAAAGATTTGTAATTTGAGAAGGTTGTAATGGTTTCTTATTGTAAATAGTGTTTTTTTACATCAAATAAATAATATTTTTTACAATTTTTTTTTTAATTTTGTTTCTTAAAAAATGAAATCAAAGAACTGCTCGTGAACTTTTAAATAATCCATGTTTACAACCTAAAACATCCATAAATACTGATATTGAAAAGGAAATTTTACTCCTGTGCAACAAATTCAAGATTTTACGTTACAATAACATGTGACTTACATAATTCATGTGATTTTCTTATCACGGCGTTAGTAATCGGGAAATATAATAGTTATTTACCGCTCAATCGCCGACATCATCAGGGTCACGGCTATCTCTGATTTCGCGGTAAATAACTAATACATAATAAATTATGATTTATATCATCTGAATTTTTGTCCGGAGCATAGTGGAGGACCTTATACTACTACGCAATGTTATAGCCTGATCGACGAATGAAATTTGTGGATTTATTTTGTATTACGTAAATATTTTAGCCAAAATTAACCCATGTTATTATCGGAAATTATGCTTTCCCTAGTAGTACATATAAAAAATGTTTTAAGTATCTTCGAAAACCCAAAATCCCAAACATCGAAAAAAAAAATAAAAATAAAAATAAAATAAAATAAAAAATAAAATAAAAATGTGGTACATTAACATACATTTGTGAAATAAAAATAACGATACAATATTTTGAATCCAAGATTTCTAGCATTTTTGATATACATTTTACAATAAAATTTTTTAATATTTGAAAATCTCCGATTATCGGATTTTCATTAATATTTAGATTTACCAAGATCAAAATAAAATTCGAAATCTTTCGATATTCGAAAATTTACTTTTTGTGAATGTTTTGAAACTCGATTTGAAGAAATCAAAGTCAACATATAATCACCTTCATAACATTTGGAGAGGGAATTGGAATTGTTCCTCTCAACGGAATGATAATTTTTTTTTTATGTACGCAAGTGTTTATGAAAAAGGTTATATTCACGTCGTCAAAGATTCCGAAAATATTTTCGGAATAGAAATAGCAAGGGTTAGAAGCCTTGGAATATGTTTAAAACTTATTTTTGATTTTCGATGCTTTTTGGAACGTTTTTTTTTGGACCGTTACATTGCATAATCGAACGATTACTTCATGGTTGAAGGCGCAAAGTTATCCCAATTAACTCTCTTTATTAATGAAAACACATGGCTGATCATATGAATTCCACAAATTTAATTTATAAATAATTTAAATTTGAAATTTTTTTTTAGAATTCCCCAACAGAGATCATGTGCCTGTGAAAAATTTCAAAAATCTTTGTGGACAAAGCGTAAAGATCGTGATATATCGCACTAAACATTTGCGAGTTCATAACGAATCAAATTCTTGACAATCGACTTTTTTTTTTTTTTTTTAAAATAAATACATTACTGGTCAGTTTATTTAATTGAAGATTTTCAAGTGTATAATGAAAAATCAATGCGCATTGACAAAACTTTATGCTTTGTGAGCTCTAGGTAAATGTAAATCAGAACCAAGCATACCAGTATGATTTGATGCGTGAAATTTAATCTATCTTGTTCTTGTGATAATTAATTATCGTGGGAAAGATTGGATTAAGATAATCTGATGCTTGGTTGATACGTCCGTCTCTTCCTTATGAACTTGTACTAATGTGGTGAAATAAAAAAAAAAAAGAACTAATCTTTGGATTGTAATATTGTAACGCCTCAAAATATTATTAAACTACCAAAATAATGTTAAAATTACAATGCTCTTATGACAGCACTCATGACATTTGTACAATTAATAATGCAAAAAAAAAATGTGTAATGAAATTTGTCAGATAAAAAATGCAATGCACAAGACATTTGAAACATATCATAACAAACCATTCTTAATTTTGAATGTACGAAAAAAAAAAAAAAAATGTTTTTTTCGAAATTATTTGATTCATAGAATTACATCATTTAGAAAATATCTTTACGTAAATACCAAGAACTTTCTTGTCAAACAAAGAAAAGAAAAGTAAAGAAAAGAAAAATAGAGAGAAAAGAACCAATCAAAAAGACTAGGTTTAATTAAGGGAGTAACAAGATCATTAATCCGATCATGGTATTACCAAATTTCCAGCCCTTAGGTAATAAATAAAGTTAGGTTAAATGTTAACCCAATATCGAATATACCTATGGACCGTAGTTTCACCGAGAAAAATGCTCAAGAAAAAAGAATTTTACTGAGAAACCATAGCAGTCGATGACCGAATGAAAGAAACGGTGTCCCATAAATTTCGATTGTATAAAAATAAAAATCAAATGTCTCGAGCGTTCTAATGAAACTAATTTTGCTCACGCTGATATGGAATTTTGGCTTAATAGTCTTACCGTTTCATCTCGAATCAATCATTACAAAGAATTTATCGATTATATAACATGATTATTCTGAAGCAAATTTCATTATTAAGGTTGATATTATTTTTTTTTTTTAAAAAAAAAAAAAGTTGGCTCGAGCCGTCGCCAAAGATAGAAATAAATGCTATCTGAAATCACCCATTAATTAATTTCCGTGCAACTTGAACCAATTAATCGAAAGATTTATTAAAGGTTCAACGATAAAGTTAAAAAATTAACTGAGTAACGGCTGATTAATGTTCAAATATGAATTACATGAGGAAATTGATTGATCCTTGTTTCCATTGGTTTTCTTTTAATATTCTTTAATGATGAACCATTCTGTTTCGGTTTTTTACGTAGTCCTTCGTAATTAAAATATGTTTTTTTTTTGATTCGCAACTTGTTTGTAACACTGCTACCTTTTAATTTGTCTTGGACCGAAAAAAAATATGTTTCTAATAAAAAAAAATTTCAGGAAATTTGATATTCATAAATTAAATATATATACCGAACAATTTCAACACATCTCATATTTCATTACTGTTTTTTTATGAGAAAAAAATAAAAAAATAAAAAAATCATCACTATAAAAGGCATTTCACAAAATGATTAATCCTTTCTTCATATTTATTTACTTCATATTTTTCATTTCATTATTATGTGCTATATACGTTACTGTTAAATTATATCGGAATGGAAAAAATTACATGGTTGTAGTTATATCAATAGGAATGGTGTTGGTTGAATTTCCTGTATTATTAGGCGTCATCTGGATCGATGATTTTAAAAATAAAGTTCCATGGGGATTTTGCCTTTTTCAAGGAGTAGCTGTAAGTTTTTCTTTCTTCGAGACACTTTTTTTTCTTTAAAGATCAATTTATTAAATGGAAAAATGTATGTTCTTCCCGCTATTGCAGATCCAATATGGTGCATTTTTACAAATGTCGGGAGGGTTGTGCTTTGCATATCAGACATATCGATTACTCGTTCTTAACAGGCAAGGAATAACCGAAACGTTAAAAAAAGTTTATATTGCCCTGGTAATTCTATATCCTCTTATACCGACGGCAATTTTAATTTATATTGCCATGAAATATGATGCCATTAAACCTTTGACTCTCAATTGGTAAATAATCAATCCCTTTTTTGGTTTTCTCGAAGGAAAATTTTTTTAATTAAAAAATTTTATTTTTTTTATTTATTTATTTATTTTTTTACGATTATTTAGCGATATCGTAGATCCCGTATGGGTTAGGCTTTTTGGGTATTCTGGATCCAATTTCATATTATCCTTTGTCGGTGTATACTACAGTGGTAAGTGTCAATGATTCACTTTTATCATCCTTTATTATCATTTAACATTTCACTAATTTTCGTTTTATTTTTTTCATCCCCTTTGTCACAAAAGGACGAGCAGCGGTAGCAGTATTTAGGCATTTGGATCGATTTAAAACTTCGATCTCTTCATCAAGAAGTCATATCCAATCGGCTCAAACGTCTGAAAGCGGCCAAGAAGAGTTAACGATATCCATAGATCTAGAGGAAAATACGCATTCAGTTGTAACATCAAATACCGTTCAAACATCAGATTTAACAAAGCAAATTAAAGTATACAACTTGACAAAAGCCGCCGCGATACGCATGGTCTTATTCTCGTGCTCGTTTGCGTTTATTAATTTTTTTGCTTCTATACAAACTGTTTTGATAGTCATTAAAGGAGGTAAAACCATTGAAAAAGGTTTATCGGGTCATGATTGGGTTGGTGCTTTACAAGGGTCCATAATTTTCTTGATTTTTGGTATACCACAAAATGTAAGAAAATTCTTTTTACGAGAAGCTCGATTTTAAAAATTCTTTTACTGCTGGCTAGATTGGAATTTTTTTGTAAGTTAATTAGAATTAGAAATGATGTAAAAAAGATAAAAACATAAAATATAAAATAATAAAAAAAAAAAAAAAAAAAGATAAATAAAGTAAAAAGTAAAAATTAAAAAAAAAAATGGAAAGATTTTCATGCTCAAGTTGTCGGACTTTAATAAATTTAGAAAAGTTGGAGTTTGTCATGAAACGAATTTTTTACTCCATGAAAATCAATCAAATTCTTTGAAACGTAACCAAATTGATTGCATTTAAAAAAATTGTGTAAATCAAAAATTAATTACCCAATCGATGGACTGTAAATCTGATAAATATTCAAAAATGGGTTTCGGGTTTTGGCTTGTAATCACGCACAAAAAGAAAAGGACATATTAAAGAACCAGTAATAAATGTGAAAATTTTTCAAATCGTAAAGTGTTATCGTGCTCGATAATTATTACTAATTGAAGGAAGTTCGCTATCGTGGAGTTTATGTTAGAGATTGGGGTGAGAAAATCATGGGCTGATGTAATCGAAACCTTCCTTAATTAAAAAAAAAAAAAAAAATCCTAAAAATAATTACATAAGATCCGTCTTATGCAAATAATGTTGCCTTTTTCGAACGATTGGTATTAAATCATTTTTAATCGTTTCCGTTAGATTTACTGAATTAGGAGCTTTCGGGAAACATTATCCGAAACTGCTTTACCAAATCAGAAACGTTTCGGCGGAACTTTTCAGTTTCGCTCTATCCAACCTTAATTTGGAAACACATTTCTAGAAGTTTTCTTTTATGTAGCTGCGCTCCAATATCTTTTCTATATTTCTACATGTATTACTTATCACCCGGGAATAAATTATTTATTTACACTAAATTTCGTTTCCATTTTAAAAAATCTTAGAAACCAATATTATGAATTTAAGGGGTTTGCTAATTCAAATCGAGTTACGAACATATTAAATCATATGGGAAGTTTCTCTGAGATTTTTTTTTGACTAAAAGTAAGACTTGATTATATTTTAATCTAATAACATCAAAAAACTAAAATGCAATAAAAATCAAAATTTTGTCATATGATTGATTTGATTCCTTTGAAATACGATAGATTTGAAAATCACGTTACGGATCATATGGGAAGATTGCTAGGAAAATCAGCAAAACTTTATCTAATTTGAAGAATTTGTATCATATATGATTTGATTGTATTAATTAAATATGATGACAATGCAATATTTTTTACTAATTTTATAATACTTTTTTATTTAAAACTTTCAAATATAAAAAAATTTTATTTCCATTTTTACAACGCTACCACAAATTTTACAATGGACCCGAGATTAGAATTTCACCGAATGCATAGTGAAATAAATAGCCCCATTAAACCGAGCCTTTAATAGAAATGTACAATAATTTGGAACAAGAAAACAAGCTATTAATTGTTATAAATAAAAAATAAATATGTTAATTACCGCGGAATCACATGATATGATTTACCGGTAATATCCGATAATATTCCAGAATGGTGTCGATCAGGTATACTAAAACAATAGTAATTAATCAACGTACACTCTCCGTGACTAAAAAAAAATTTTTTTTATTATAACCGAAAATTTTTCAATTTTCAAGACCAAAAGGAATTTATATAAATATAAACTTAAAAATGTGATCGTTATTATGCCGCCTAACCAAATTAGGATAAACAAAATAAATCGCTGTAACCATAATTAGTAAAATAACTTCAAAGATTTTTCAAAATGAAAAAAAAATTTGAGTCGGTTAATAAATAGAATTTACGATCGATGTTGTAATCATCAAAAAAAGATCCCGTGTTTACGAGATTGAGCTTTTATTTATTGAATGAAAATTGACGAAAAAAATATTTTTTAAAGTATTTGAAATTTTTTTATGATCAAATAAAATAAAAATAAAAGTGTACAAATATGACGAAATCATTTCAATACGGCCGTCTTCCCCGTTTTTCCGATGGCTTCAATTATTTCTTGGGATGATTTTGTGGTTTTGACTCGTACATTCTTAGTTTCAAGATCAAAGTTAATTTCATCCATACCTTTTTCATAACACGTTGTAAGAAAATTATTAAAAGAATAAAAAAAAAAAAATAATGTATGAAATATGAATAATGTGGAATTACCCCCAAGATTTTTTAATGCCTTTTCAATCGACTTTGTACATCCTGAACAACTCATCGGGTCGACTTCAAATGTTAAGGTGTTCTATAAAAAAAAAAAAAATATATGTCAAAATTGGTGTTATTACATCCAATCAAAAGGATTAAACGAAAATTATAGGTACGCACGATGTCGCTCATTTTTTAATCCTTAATTTGTTTCAAGACTTGAACTTTTGTGACATTTTTATATATGTTTTTTTTTTTTTGATTTGTAATGCTGTTGATTACACAATCGAACTGATAATCACGCAATAGAAGAATATCGGAGATATCCTGATCTAGCGAAAGATATTTATACCATCCTCAAGCATATTTATTTGTCGTTTCTTCGGGAAAACTTTTAAAATGTTCGGACTTATTAATTTATATGGTAAATGTAAACCATTTAAATCTGAAAGAAGCTCAAATTAGTAAAAACAGAAAAAGGTAGATTAGGTATGAAAAGGGTTAAGGTGGGTAGAAAATTGATCTAAGAAGCTATCCGTAGGGATAAACGACTTTTTTAACGTGAGCAAAATTGAATAATCGATAATTTTGCTGTCAATCAAAGGTTTGACATCGTTATATTGCATAATGGTGAAATTCGAATTTCCGAATTTCTATTAAAAATTAAAATCATCGACTAATCTATTTATAGCTCGATTGAATCGATCTATGAAAAAAAAAAACTCGCACTATTTCGAAATTGGCGATTTCTTTTCTTTGTAATAATGCTTGCAAGTAAGGCAGCCCAGAAAATGTGGCGTCAAGATTCCAGATATGTATCAAATATGCTTTACTCGAAATACTTTATTTTCAAAATATATACACACAAAATGTTCTGCGGCTAGTTTTGTTAAAATCAAAAACTCCATTTTGTTAATTGATCTCGATCTTTATCTATGATCTTGACTGCGGATATGCTATGCAAATTTAACCAAATATGAGCTTATACGCTATGCGAAAAAAAAAATTTTTAATTTATGCGTTTATTATGTTGTCGCTAATTGTTGGCCTGCATTTGCATGTGGAGATAGAATCGGACTTGACTGAGTCAGTTGAATCGATTCTTTTAAAACGAGCGATGTCTGCTCACCGTGAATCAAAAGTTACAAATGATGTCAGAATATCAACAAAAGGACTTTGGTTTGATTCAATTGGATAAATTTCAGCCAAAAGTATCCATTTTGATTCCCCGGCAAGCAAGTGATTGCGAATTTCATGTGTGTCGCGACTCTGTTCGGCGGCTTAGGGAGGGTTAACGACTGGCTGAGTCGACTCCATGGGCTGGTAACACTTGCTTGCACATAAACATAAGGCTGTGTCACAAGCGTTCCGATATCCTCTCTTTACTTTTATCGTTATCTATCAACCCTTTAAAAATAATTTTTTTTATGTAAGTTTATTGATCGGACTTTATGACAAATTTATGACTCGTCATTTAGATAAATATATGTATGTTGATTTTGGCTAAATTACGTCAATACGGCCGGAATTAAAAACCGCACGCACTTTTTCCTTATAAGAACTCAAAAAAAAAAAAAAAAAAAAAAAAAAGTAAAACTGGTTTTATTAAAACATATGATCACGCATTTTAACCAACTATAAAATGGTTGATCGATCATTCTTTCCTCACTCCCTCTTCATTTTCTCTTTAAATAAATGGATCCGTACGCAAGTAATTATTTTTTTTTTTTTTTTTTTTTTTTATGAAAAATGTTTGAATATCAATGTAAACTTATATTGATTGGATAAATTTTGTATTTGAAAGATGATCCTGATTATCGTGATACGTCCCTAGTTTCTCGGCCTTCGGTTAGGACGATTGTTCCACCCGAACAACGTGGAAGTGAAGGTTCATTTAATCGAATTCAGTATCATCAATTTGGGAATCATCGTAACTCTCTAAATCAAAATCATCAGCGTCAACAGCAACACTCGCAAAATCAAGCGCAACATAAACGTCATAACAGTTATAATTTTCATGATCGGTATAATACAAATAATAGGCAACAATCATTTTCTTATCTTAGAGAAGAACAACATAAAGTGTATCATCCAAATCAATCTCAAAATCGTAAACAGATCGCCTTACCACCTTGTATTCCACCACCTTCTACAACATCTTTTATTACTGAACAATCATATGCTTCAAAGGTCAAAAATCAAAATATTACTTTACCCCCTATTATACAGTTACCTAAACAACACGTTGATTTCATTTCTTGTAATCTTCCCTATGAAGAAGGAAAGTTAATTGAGGGATTAAGGATTGTTGTCGGTCCGGTAAATACTTTTCGAAAATTTTGTAAAAAGAATTTTTTTGACCGTTTTATGATCGTTTATTTATATTTTTATATATATCATTGAAGGTTGTTGAACCTGATTACAATATCTTTTGCGAGTCAAGGGTTGTACATAATCTTCTTCAAAAGAAGGTAAATTGTCCACTTTTACAAGTTTTAATTTGCAAAAAAAAGCCATATATATATATATATATATTATTTTAATACCTCCGTACAACTATTTTTTGAACGAAATGTTAGGATAGTATTGAAAGCGTGTCACATGAAAAATTTACCGAAGCAAGGCACAAATCAAATCCATATGAAAAAGTTGGCAATTCAATTTTCATGAATAGAGCTGCCGTAAAGTTGGCGTGTTTGGATTCTCTAATTGGCCTTACTACAATTAAAAGTTATGATCCAGATAAAGATCATGTAAGTAAACCTTTTAATTTACATCTTCAAACAAAAATTTTCCTTTCAAAAAATTGACACTTTAACGTATAAAGGTATTTTGTTTTGCGGATATATGTGGTGGACCAGGAGGATTTACAGGTTTGAAGGAAAATCATTTCGGGTAACTTCACCTACCTATAATATAAATTTTCAAATTTTTTTTTCTTTTTTTAGAATATTTGCTATGGCGTAAACTCTCCTGGGGAGAACAAGTTTCTGGATGGGGAATTACTCTAAACAATGTGCAAAATTTTGATTTAAATAGATTTTATTATGAAACTAATCCAAGAAAATATTTTAAACCGTGTTATGGAGCTGATGACACAGGTAATGATTTTCATAAATTTAAAAACTTTATCTCAATGTCATTAATTATAATTAATATATGTGTATATATATAAAACGAAATAGGTGATTTGTATAAAGAAGACAATATCAAGGATTTTGCAAGGACGATAAAAGATGGGACTCGAGGAATTGGTGTAGATTTAGTAACAGCTGATGGGGTAAGAATATTCAAAAAAAAAAAAAATTGTTTAAATATAATAGAATCTCATGATAAAAACTGTAAATGTTCAAATCAAACAGGGATTTGATGTAAGAGGACAGGAGCAATATCAAGAAATTCATTTAAAACAACTTATATTATGTCAAGTGGTTACAATGTTTATGATACTCCGAAAAAGTAATTATAGTAATTTGCCTTTTCTAGTGTTCAATCAATTAATAATAATATTCTAAAAATATATATATATATATATATTAATTTTAGATGGTGATTTTGTATTAAAGTTATTTGATATTTTTACACCATTTACTGGAGGTATCGTATGGATATTATATCGTCACTTTGAAAAGATCTGTATAATTAAACCATTATCGAGTAGGCCGGCAAATTCAGAAAGGTATTATTTAGATTCAATTTAGATAGTAATTTGAATATGTTCTATGCTAATTACTCTTTGTACTTTAGATATATAATCTGTCAAAATTTACGAGAAAATAATCCAGCAATCTTATGCCACCTTTTTAAAGTGAATCAAAGATTTAATGAACTTAAAACGACGAACAAATCAACTTTATCACCAAAAACCAAATCATCCCTTAATCGATTATTTATGCGAGAATTTCAATCTTCGTATTCACGAAATTCGAAAATACCAACATTACCAAAGGAGGATATAAATGAAATTATTGATATTTCAGAAATTAATAAAGATCAAAAATTTTTGAGATATATCAAACAAAAGAACATCGAAATTGCTAAAAGTCAGATTAAAGCTATTGAACAATTGTTGAATCTCGTCAAGAATTCGTATCCTTTTTTATTATTTTATAAAGAAAAAAAAAAGAGAAAAGGGAGGAAGGTTCATCCTTAATTTATTTTGATTTTCTCTCATGTAGAGAAACGAAACCACCTAATCAGGATGAATTTAAAAAACTTTGTTTGCGAGAATGGGGATTACCAAGTGAAGAATGAATTTAATTCTCAGGTTTGTATAAATTTCATATAAATTGCAAAATTGTATTATTACAAGTATAATAAAAATATGTTAAACTCTGAAAATGTTAACGTTACTCGAAGTAATAATTACTACAAATTTCTACTTGTGTTTTTTTTTATGACATTGAAAATTTTCTTTTTTTGGATAGTTTAAAATTGATTCTACATATTCAATAATTAGTTAACAAAGGATAATTAACGTTGAGTTGTATCAAAATTCTTCTGTTGGAATAGCAAGGGGATATGAGGAATTTAATAAATACATTGTGATTATTATTATTCAAAAAATAAATTTTATGTATAGTAAATTACTAATTCTTAATTCAAAATTAAGGCTCATTCCTTAAATTCAAGAAAAAAAGAGAAAAAAGAAAGTAAAAAATATTTTTAAAAACATATATATGTTCAAATTTAATAATGCTGTTTCCAAGTTTTATCGTAAGCGGGGGGGGTATTTTCATGTTCCAGCTGGCCGGAATTCTACTTTTATTGCTGAAGAAAAATGTTTTACTTTTTTCATTTACTAGTAGTATATTCCAGCAGAACTGGAATTTTTTTTTTATTGTGTCATTAGTAGAGATGATTCATAAGAAGTCGTAAAGTTGTGAGAGGGAATGTCTGGTGAATAAACCAATATGACTTTTTTTTTTTTTTTTTTTTTTATAAAGAAAAAGTAAAGTAGGAAAGTTTTCACAAGGCATGGTCTTAAAAAAAATTTTTTACCGAATTTACCGGATTAAATCAATCACAAAATGACGAAAAACAAATGATGATGTAACTCATTCTGTCTATCAAAATTTTAATTTCATCGTTTTTTTCAATTCATTTAATTCAAAAAATGAGCGGTATAAGAGCAAAAAAAATGAATGTTACGGGAGCAAAAATCTGTGACGAATTACCTTATCCGGAAACCCGAGATATAGTTTTACCAAATCAAACTGAATGTGTTTCCCAGATTGCTGTTGATGTAAATATTTCTTATCGTGTTCATATTTTTTGTTCTGGAATTGTTTATTAAAGCTCTAAAATTTCGCGTAATAGATCGGTGGTTCTTTAGCCAAAGTAGTTTATTTTTCCAAAAGACCAAATACTACCAAAGGTGGAAGCTTAAATTTTATTAAATTCGAAACTGATAAAATTGACGAATGTATAGATTTTATAAGTAGTTTAGTTGCGGCAAGAAGGAACCCCGATGCATCTGACTTGAAGAAAAAAATTGTTATAAAAGCTACAGGTGGCGGGGCTCATAAATTTTATGATTCATTTACTAAAAAATTAAAAGAGGTTGAAGTGGAAAAGGAAGATGAAATGGAATGCTTAATCATAGGTATTAAATAATTTCTCATTGGGTTGAATGCCTTAGAATTATTAACGCTGTTAAATTTCGTGTTATAAAATAATTTTTAGGATTGAATTTCCTGATCGTAGAAATTCCTTATGAAGTCTTTACATATAGCGAACATGATCCAATGTGCTTTGAAGGTACTCCAACTCCAGCGAATATGTTTCCGTATATGGTAACACTATTGTTTTAATTCTCCATTTGATTTGATCAGATGCATTCAACAAAAAATTTGATTTCACAGCTTGTAAATATCGGATCCGGTGTAAGGTAAGAAATGTCTTTTTTTTAGATTTCTGCTTTATTATGTATGACAATGAAATATGCTTATCCCATAATGATTTACTTAGTATATTGAAAGTAACCGATTCTGATAAGTTTGATCGTATCTCTGGTACTTCGGTAAGATTATTTACAAATATTTTATTTCCATTACAGTTTGTATCATTAGAAAATGCTTATATAGATATATACTTATAAAATTTCAATTTTTTGTAACATTTAGTTAGGAGGGGGCACTTTGTGGGGTCTACTATCCCTATTGACTGGTGCAAAGTCATTTGATGGTACGTTTATCAAAACTTAAAGCAAGTTCCTTAACTTTAGACCTTACTAATTGAATCCCATAAAAGAAATGTTGGAACTAAGCAAAAATGGTGACAACACGAATGTGGTAATTAATTTTGTTATTTCTTCCATATGTGATAAAGAGTTGATCATTTAATAATAATTTATTTGATAGGACATGTTAGTCGGTGATATTTATGGGTCAGATTACAATAAAATTGGCTTAAAGTCCACAACGATCGCTTCTTCAATGGGCAAAGTGTTCAAAAAAAATGTTAAACAAGACGTCGGAAATTTTAGAAGTGAGGACATTTCAAAATCTTTGTTATATATGGTAAGGTAAAGTATTGTTCGAGCTTATGTATCATTTGTTATTTACTCTAAAAAATTTAAAATGTTTGATTTATTTGAAACTCGTATGAGCGCAGTAATAATATTGGACAGATTGCTTATTTAAATGCTAAAGCCCATGGATTGAAAAGAATTTATTTTGGTGGATGTTTTATCAGGGGTAAATCCTTTTCCTTTTTTTTTCCCATATCTCTTTTTTCTTTTTTTAAAAATAAAACATTTGACATTCCATGTCTCTTCACAGGACATCCGATTACGATGAGTACGTTGTCTTATGCCATCAACTTCTGGTCTCAAGGAACAATTAAGGCTTTATTCCTTCGTCATGAAGGATATCTTGGTGCGGTTGGCGCTTTCCTTAAATATACAAAACAAAAACAACGTTCATATTCATTCTCGGAAATCTTTACAAAGCCACAAATGATTACGGAAGATTCCATCAATGCTTATGGAACCTTGGAAAGCACTTCAACGAAATTAGTGGCATTCCCAAAGCTAAAAAATTTGGACGATTATCATCCAGACACATTGCAGTTGACAGACCCAACAGCTCAGAGACACTGGATTGATGTGTTAGAAAAGAACCTTCATAATCTTGTTGAATTGGCTGTAGAATGGTCTTCGAATGGCGAATATGGCGAGCAATACAAAGAGGATGTTAAGCGTAGAGCATCATCATTTGATACGTTATTCCGTAGTCATTTGGCAACGTTAAGAGATCAACCTAACATGTATGGTGCTTTGACGGTTCGAAGCCTTTTGGATCTTCGAGAGCAATGTTTACACGAACTTGGGTTTCCCGATATTTTTGCTAAAGTCAAGGCAGAAGAAAATAAGTTGGCGTTACTTAATTTACAAGAAATATTGAACAAAGTGGATTCTATACAATCAGTGGAAGATAAAATCGAATTATTGATAGAAAATGTTTTGGCCGGTAATATGTTTGATTGGGGATCAAGTCAAGTATTGGAAATGCTAAGAAAGGGAGAATTATCTTTTGAAACAGCCAAAGCGAAAGTGACGAGACCTGATCATTTGAACAATACTAGAAGCTTTATAGAAAGGATTACGAGTAAAGATAAGCCACCTTTCAAGAAGGCAGTTATCTTTGTAGACAACTCTGGTGCTGATATAATCTTGGGGATAATCCCTTTTGCTAGATTTTTAATCTCATTAGGAATGGACATTATTTTGGCCGCCAATAGTTTTCCCGCCGTTAATGATATTACTGTAAATACTTAATTCACTCTCGTGTTTCAGGATTTTACAAGTTACTGATTATATATTATTATTTAATTGCATAGTTTGAAGAATTATCAGTAGTAGTAACATCGATCGCTGAAATTGATCATTTAATAGCGGCAGCATGGACATCCAAAAAATTATCAGTTATAGGAACTGGTAGCGCAAGCCCTTGTTTGGATTTACGGAGGATAAACGATGATTTAGCTGAAGAATGTAAAGATGTTGATTTAGTTGTATTAGAGGTAATTCCATTCATAACGCTTGTTCGTATAAATATTTTGATGATAACATTATACCTTTTGCCCTTCATAGGGAATGGGAAGAGCCATTCACACAAATTACAATGTGAAATTTACATGTGAATCACTTAAAATTGCAGTATTTAAAAATGCCATTACCGCGATGGAATTAGGTGTTCATATGTATGATGCGATAGTTTCATATGAAGGAAATAATTGACGGGAAAAAAATATAATTCATTAGCCTTGTATTTTTATTAATCGTGTACTTTTTTTCCTAATATTTAATAAGATAAATGGGCCGCAATATTTGGCGCCAAGAAATACATTTTTTTAATCTAATTTTTATATTACAATGTCATACCAATTTGACATATCATGTGTCTAAGCCCTAATTGCTAACCATAATTCAGACCAACTATATATGTAAACTTGTGGCGTGACATAGTCGTCGAAAAATGTACTATCAATTAAATAACGCAATCCTTATTCAACAAAAAGTACACGTCACCAAATTAACAGTTGCCTTCTATATATTTAACGCGCCCATCATATTTATTTATGGGAATTTTGCCACAACTTATTTCTTCCCCGCATGGTCCAAAAAATGCAAGATTAAAATCTTGAAATGTAAGATTAAATGACGACGTGGTGATTTGAGGAAATATTTAGTTAAAACATTGTTTATGTGGTTTAAATTAATTCTATGATGTATCGTTGAACAAAACTAGGGGCATTACACAACTATGTACGACAATGCTTTCCGTATATTTATTACATTTTGTTTAATAGAAAAACCCTTTTTTTTATATTTTCGGTGGTGGTTAATCCTTTCTTCTAAAAAAAAAAAAAAAAAAATTACTGTCGTTATTATATATGGATTTACAAAGTCAAGTGCAAGATCTCTTGGATTTATCAGATCATGTTACTTGTAAGGTTTCAACTTCAAAATTATTATTTGTAACAAACAATATTTTTACTTTTCTAAAAAAAAAAAAAAAGAAATAATAATAAATTCTCGTATCAATCAATATAGTACTGTTGCAAAAACAATTCGATACTCTTATCCGAAAAAGAACCTTTGTAAAGAATGAGAAGGAAGGAGAGGAGTTGGATAATTTATCTTGTGATATAGCTTTGGCTTCGAGGTCTTTGCAAGGTGATTAACTCCGTTATAGTCGAGAACATACATTTATATTTCTTATTTCTTTTTAGATATTTATCGAAATCCT